AATGATTTAATCGATAAGGCTACGGTAACTAAGCCCTGTGGTTACAGAATCAAAGATGTGCTTATTTTTAACAGAGGCAAGTAATTCATTTGCAAGGAGTGATTTGCATTGATCCTGACAGTCTCGGAAAGGGACGAAGAGTTTAAGAAACAACAATGGCACGCAGTGCCGTCGGTCTGTGTTCCAAAGCAACTAGGAGTGTTGAATGTTTTTGACTGATTTCAACAAAGCCAAAAAACTCGGTGCTTTAAGTTATTCATTTCGCAGCTGTATTGTGTACCGGGCAGATAAAAGTCTGGATGAAAGACAATGATCCAATAATAGCTGACTAAATTTGATGTGGACACGCGGATCTCAAGAAGGTGTGGAATTCAGCTGCCAGATAGTGGCGGAAGCCATAGCTATCGACCTCGTTCTCTGACTTTGTTATTGAATATTTGCTACCGAATATGATGGCCTTGTCTTAAAAACCAATTCGAATGCAAATAAGGTTCGAGTCATCTGTGTGGACCAACCATAAGAAGAAGAGATGCTATGAAATTCAATAAAACTTACTGAACTAGTTTCAGCCGGTAATTCATAGTCGGGAGCTGATTGCATCCGGGTTTACGCTGACCAGATTCGACACTGGAAAAGGCACCGAACTGCCCATATAATATGATTTTACTGGCCTTGTTCGCTTATTCGCTCTATATTGGTGTCTCTTCACGCTAGCAAGACGCTGTGTTTCTGGTGAGGCGAATGCAACTGGACAGGTACATCTGTTGAAGAGATGGTGAGTAACGGCTGACGACGAGAATTGAGGGTTGACTGTTCCGTCTAGTAGGTCAAAAGTCTGCGTAAAAGCTGACTTCTTCTGTATACTCCTAATCGTGGAGTATGAATTTGTGATTTTAGGTGTTAAACATTTACTCATGGGCTGAAAAAGGGGATGCAGATAAATTGGATTTATCTTACAGTGACTTCGGTTAGTGGCACCGTTTTCTCAAAGCGGACAGTGCCGTTTCAATCAAGGCAAACTGTGTATTCTTGACCTACCCTTGGGTACCAGCGCGAAGCTAGCCCAGACGATAACCAGGTGGAAGACATGCCGTGATCAAGAATTGTGAGTGTGGGTGATTTTATTACCATAGCTTACCGCACCCTGCTCATTCATGCTCAAATAATACCATCAGAATTCTTGACTCCGACGATCTCTAAGATCTCTAAGGCCTTGAAAGTGTTACGGCCGTTCGAAAAAACTGGATCAGCAAGCTTTGTCGCTTGTACTCCTCGTGTGATCACACACCTCAATGCTTACCTTCGTGACTTTGAGGAGTGGCGTCTTGACTTTCGTCTCTTTACGTTTCATTCCGAAACGGGCTCTCATTGGTCTGTCTGAGTACGATGTAAACATGATCCACGGAAAACCTGATCACTCGATCACAATGTGGCCACAACATGACTGGACTCCAGGAATTTTCTGGGACGGTCTCGCACGGTTACTCCGCAATCCTAACTACGATCACAATTTACTGGTACGCTGAGTGGATCGGATGCCGAAGCAGTTGTAATAAAGTCGAAGGTAATGTAAATGATGCAGTATAGTTTGGAGGTTGAACAGAATTCATATGGTCTATTCAGTGAGGAATTTCGGATATCTCAGCCGTATTGAACGAAATGCAAATCTTCATCATAGAGTGGTGTAAAATATTCTGGTAATCAGAATTCTATGCGAGACTGCTTCTCTTTATTGGAGGTTTTAAACCGTTGTCAGTTGAGGCCTATCTGTCGTCCCCCGCACATAATTCGGCCGTACAAATACAAATAAGGGTATGCTTTTACTGAAACAGCTCTCGACGGCGCTAGAAGTGACTGTGACAGTTATCTTACCGAATCCATCAACCCTAATCGAACCATTGTGGTCTGGTTTGGATACAACACATTGGTACTAGGGACCATCTGTTGGGGCTCAAATTTCTCACTTTTCCCACTTGTACTCACAAGCGGTATGCTCTAACACGGAGGAACATATTTGTCCATGTCTCTGTAAGACATTGATCCAGGGTACTCCGTTCAATTTAAGCCTCAGGAAGGGTGAAAAATCCTTCTGAAAGGACAGTTTATGTTCTTGCAGCTCCACCGCACCACGGAGTTTGGCCGTCATATATCTTCGTGGACCTTTACTGAGTGTCTCAAATGATTTTCGGATTAGTGTGCTGTATCCATCCCCTAGTAACTGGAAACCTCATCTCCATACGGCGAGGCCAGATAGCAACTTGGAAAACAGATAGTTCTGTTTTTCGTGAGTGGATATTGCTGTGTTGCTGGTAAGCATGTGGTGTCTACTGCCGGAGGATAGAGGAACACTTCACGGATACTTTCAAATCCTTCACTAGCTGTCGATCACTTTAGGTTGTTGTAGGTTTAATTATTTCGAATTTTCCTAATCTGTTTCCTTCCTTGACCCCTAAGTTTTTTGAGATCAGCGTTAATGTTATTTGCGACGTATCTCTTTTTGTGTCATTCCAACAGTACATGAACTTAACAGAAATGTAACGAGATTGTTTATGGAGACTCCGACCCTTGTCTTTTCTTTTCTCCTAGCACCTGAGAGGATCGTCAACGCCCAGGCCCCCTGTTGCCAGAACTCATAAATTCTGTCATGCTCCAGAGAAAAAGCTCCAGGCGTTGTTCTGCTCAGTATTACCTTTCCGCCGAAGATCATGTGGAGAACGAAGTCAAGCACGAGCGTTTACTAACCGAAACCTCACGTCTATCCTCATCTTGGGCTAGCCTGAGTGTCTCTGGGAACGACAAAGCTGAAAGCGATTGCTCTTCCTCCTCAGTCTCTGCTAACAATAGCCCGAACCATCGTCCGAATTCATTCAGTGGCCCCTTGGTCATATCGGTCACATGTTCCGGTAATTCCTGCCAAAGCGCTCATGGCTGTCACCCCGCTCAACCTTCCAGTAGTAGGTGTACGCCCACTAGTCCTACCCCTCATAGTCTTTCCTCAGGTCACGCATCACCCGCGGCTTCTCCTGTTTCCTCCCGTGTGCAGTGTTACTCACCCGGTTTAGCTCCGTCTTTAAGCTCGCCCACAACCCGCCGTCCCAATACCGCTAGTCCCCTGTTGCTACCATCAGCTTTATGTAGAAAACGCGGTTACTTCTCAACCATGTTGACTGCAGGCTGTTCCAGCGGGGACGCAAGTCGTGAAGGATCGCCTGATTCTTCTTTATCCTCCGGTCGCGGTTGTAAATCTATGCGCCAGGCTGACGGGCGGGCATATTCATTTTGTGATGCTCCTCAATTCAGGTGGCCTCCAGGTCCTCCAGTTACTTCGAATCCCCCGAGTCCGTCGTGTCACTTGTTCCCGTCACTCCTTCCGACCGGTACTGCCCCAAGCAGTCCATCCACCTCAAGCCTACCATCACCACGCCTTTCATTTACTTCTTCATTGATAACATTCCCCGGGTCTCCAGCCTCTTCGGCAGCCTTGAATTCAACAACATCATCTGGTGGGGTTCCACAGCTGCTGCCGAGTCCCAAGTCAGAAACAAAGCTAACCAGTGTGATGGACACAGAGGCTACCACTTCTGTGCCACCCACCGATGACTCTGATAGGAATGAATCCGCATCTGCTTCAGAGTGCTAATCCGTATCTGGTTCCTAGGTCATTCTATGTTTACTCATTTTCCGGCTCGATTTTCGGCTCCTCTTTCCTCCTCATCCACCCGCGGTCTGCATACATAAATGTTCATATAATGCGTTTCCTAATGGTATGCGCCGAGTTATTTGTATCAGTCAATATTCTCAATATCTGTATGGCGTATACTGCCATTTTTCATCCTTGTTTTTTGCAGGGATACCCGATAGCCTTTGAAATCCGACTTGTACATACATAAATTTGTCTTAAATAGCAAGTCGACTCGAACATCCTATGGAAAAACTGTCTGTACATCGGCTTTCCGTAGCGCACTGGTGTCGGTTGTTTTCAGGGCACGGGGTTTATTTCTGGTAAACTGCATTGGCTCATTCTTTTTAGATATCTGTGTGTAAAATGCTTATCCACAAACTTCCAATTCTGAATCTGTCACTTGTTTTCTCTTATGTACACGCTCTGAGTTGGCATGTTTGAAGTGGAGCATGTCCAGAACTACATGTGGCTTGTGCGCTGATGCGTACCGCTGACCGGATTCCCTGCTAGGTTCCGGAGGAAACATAGCCTTTATCAGAAGAGATTGTGGATTATTAACTCGACTGATGATAAGCCATCCCTTGGTTCGTATCGTTTTCCCTAGAACGCATTTGTTTTAGAATGCGCTTTCGGTTGAATTACCTATTACGTTATGGGCAATGTCCAATCAGTTACGCAGGGAGCAAGGGCGATTCCAATACTCCAATCGCCTGTTCTTGATGACAATTGAGTCTGAAAGTGTCGGTAAATCGGTTGGTTACTTTTTGTACGTCTGAGGTAAATAGATTATTCGGTCGTGGTAGCTTACGTAGAGGAAGCGGCACGGTGGGCTATTACGGTTACAACCCGGAGAATTAACTTCCGAGCGTATTACACTCTTTTAAGGTCTGGTTTTCGCTCAGTTTTGGCATTCCAATGCAATCCTTTCACCCATTCGAAAGCTTAAATTAAAGTCCTTACTTGAGGAGCGATGGCAAACCTTAAAAGAGAACTTCTGCTGCTGGGCTCTAACTCATCGGATGACGAAGGATATGAGCCCTATCAAATTGCCGTGTTGCATACGACACTGGACCTTCTTTGTACGTACAAAGCAGGTATAGTGATTCCTGAAAACGGAAGTCCGTCACATCTGTCTTCATTCAAATGAAAGTAACTAGATCGATTTTCAGCCTTTTAGCACCAACACCATGTGGCCGCCGGCTTCATTTGTGTGAATGGCTTACATAACTGTAGTAGTTATCTTGAGTAAACCAAGTACAGCACTTCCTCTGCATATCGAGTTCCAAAATGTCTAACACAGGCGATCCAACTAGCGGGACAGAGGTCTGAGGAGGAGAAAGATTTTGAGAGAAAACCATCATTAGTAGTTGCCGTGCACGGTATCAGTTATCGTCCTCCAGGTCCCTATATCTCCAGTGATTCGCTAGCATAAACGTGCACCATTGTGAAGATGGACGATGTTCAACTGCTGTGCGGTGTAGTCAGCCAAGATACCATACTATTAGACTGACCACATAAGCTGGCCATTCGTGAACAGGATAGGGGTAATTCGAAGTTGGGTACCTGAGCAGGATGGTTGGCTCAAATTAAACCTCTCTTTGAGGGGACCAGTCACTCTGGGGACTATTCAATCACCACATCGAGGTTGGGAGCAAATGTTATCAAGGAGCATGAATTTAACGAGTCAACGATGGCTGTGAAGTGCGTCTGGCTCCCTGCACTTTTTAACTCTACTGCTTCCCTCTGCAGAAGTGTACCAAAAGTTACAGTGTTCCTGGTGTGTTTACGGTGGAACTGTATATTGAGTTCCTTATGTGGGTTTACTTATTTACTCTCAATAATCGCAACCGCCTTTGTATCCTGCAAAGCTCCACCTCTTTGGAAATGCTTGACTTTTTTGTTACGTGGGCATATTGTGAATAGGATGTTTGCTAACCCACAGTATCCTCTATTGACTTGTACTCACTTGAATGATTCGCTGTAATCAAAAGAGGGACAGGTACTTTTCCAGTATTATTTTATCACAATTTCCCTCCTACATGGTGACAGTCCAAGTCGAAAATGATGACGATTCATCCTATCAATACAGCAGTTGTTTTTTACTTCAAGAAATGACTGATCGGCTTCATTGCCTTACAGATCATAAAACCAGTACTTCGACGTGTATTTGGGGCCTTGGATAACAGACAGGTGTGTCCTTCCTTTCAAAGACAAAGTTAATACCTTAGAGTCACGACTCGCAAATCAGTTCTGTGCCATAAAAACATGCAAACACATATAGTCGATGATCACTCGATAGACCAGGTACTGATGTGGCCTGAGCCACAATGGTTAGAGACATTATCAGACATGGCCCAGTCGCGCCCTCAATGGCGCTCACGCATCCAAGCTATTGCCTTCAAT